TCTAAAACAGTGTTTACCCTGAAAAAAGACTCCCTCTCCGCCTTGTAATGTGGTCCCATGAGCCAAATGCATATCGCCTCACATTTGTAATGCAACACCTTCAATGGTTTGCCAGAAAATTGCTCCCCAAATTACACTTCTGTGAAGAGTACACAGTAATAATGCACCACAAGGGCAGAGAAAAATATATTGCAATTGGATACATTGAATAATGTAATGTTTCAACAATACCAGAAAGAATGTTGTATTATTAAAATACCATGGCAGTTTTAAAATGCAGCATTAACATCACCATGAGCAAGCAGGAAGACTGAGAATAACAAATATTGAGCTTTTCTCAGAGCTACGGTGGGGAAAAAAAAAATCCTTCAATCCACTTACACTTTCAGAGAATAGACAAGCATTTACAGGAAGGTATGACTGGAGTGAGAAAGAAATCGGTTTGGCTCTCATTCAATATGGGAGGGGTAGAAGGAGGGAAGTTAGAGCATCTCTTTAAGCAATCTGCCCAGGTACAGTGATGCACTGAGGACCAGTCTAGATGATTCAGGCTCCAAAATGTCTACCTTTTCTGGAATTGCCAATCTTTGAGGGTAAAATAGTCGGTGCTTTCTGTCTTCTTAATGACAGTCCTTTCCTGGAGACCTGACTGGTATCCAGGCGTGTTACAAGGTACATGAAGTTGAACCTGAGTGCTGTTTGTGAAACTCACACAGACAATCCCCAGGGACTCCCTCACTGCCGGTCTATTCTCATGGGCTCCCGAGTCCTATCTAGTCCTTGGATGATTTTACATTCTTGTAAGTCAACCTACCTGGATTTTTATGCTTATTTAATGTGTCAACTCACCAATTTGATGTTTTCTTTACCTGGTCACAGGAGAGGTGCACAGTGTCCTCATGGAGCACTTTGATTGCAGGAAAAGTAAAGCCACCAAAACTAGTTGGAGAAAAGAGGGACATGGAGTGGAGGGAGATGGGTAATTTCATAGTCCCCCAGAGCAGGCAGCTCAGCCGGGTCTCACATGGCCCTGGAGCCAGAATAGGATCATCTGCAAGAGAGTCACTGTCTTGTGCCACCAACCGGGGGCTGTCTGTGCCATTATGCCAGTGGGGGTGGTTGTCTGTCTGCAAGAAATGTGCAGAGTTTGTTGCTTCTTCATCTCTGTGTATCTGCTTCATTCTGTTCTCTCTGCCAGGTGAGGAAAGAGCCACCCCAACTGTACCTTTGAAGGACCCATCGAATATAAGACCCAGCCCTGACCGATGAGAGACCCTGGTGCCCAGTTCCAAACTGGGACAAGAGGAAGTCAGGTTGACCTACCTCAAGCCCAACCAGAATCTCTCCAAGTGTTGTTTTCCTTCCCGTCAATCTAGTATTCTTTAAACTTTGCATTGTTTCCATACTGTGACCCAAAGTGGATGAAATGCGGACAGGGTCAGGAAATGCCACCACCTGAAATTGAAGCCCCAAGGACCTACCGTCCCGTGGATGTGATGTGTCATCTGCTGGAGCGATGACTTGAGGCATGCTGCAAATTAGCTTAGAGGGCCACCCTGGATGCACCATGAAGATACACTGAATGCCACTGATCTGAAATAAATATTAATCATGGAAATAGTACCACATTACGGATAGAAATGAGTAGTCTGCTTGGGAATTTAAAAAAAATAAAAATAAAGAATGAGTTGAAGAGTTACTGGTTGTCTCTCGCCCTGGCCAGAGGGGTAGGTACCTTGATTGGCGCAGGGGTCTTCTGGCCCACTGTGGGGTGCCACTTATTAGGGCAGAGGCTCATTAGGGCTGGATGAAATCAACCGTTAAACATCTTCCCAGGCCCTGCTCTGTGACCTTGCCTCGAGTTAGTCATTTTGTTTTTCAAAAGTACTTTCTGATTTAGGGAAAAAAAAATGTACTCAGCAGCTGTCAGCCAGTCTCACGAGTTGATTAGCTTGAACCAATCATCCAGAACTTCAAAGAACTCACAAAATTGAGCTCCTGAACCACAGATCTGAAGACCGTGGTGATCTTGAAGGTGTCAACCAATGAGCTCCTACCTCGCTTGAGTGTCTCCAAAGAGAAGTCCTTGTAGGCACAGAGAGAAGCATGGTGAGGATCCCTGTAACAGCTGAGAAGTTAGCACCCCAGGGGCTTCTTTTCTCCAAGCCTATTAGCACATGTAGTGGGGAGATGTCCCAGCCGGGTGAGGGGCAGGTGGTCCCAGCACTGTGGCCCAGAGACATCCATGGCAGGTGGAACTCTCAGAGTCCTTCACGTCACCCAGTGAAGGCAGCTGCTGCTTCTCTCCGTAAATATGGCAGGAGTTGCCTAAAGAAGTCTGCCGGGAAAAGGGCAGACCAACAGAGCTTTGCCTTTGCATGAATAGGTAGACACTTTGACTAATGTGCTACGGGGTTTTCTCTCCTTCTATGGTTTCTGTCTGCAGGTCTCTGTCTGCCTGGGCTGCCACAACAAAATAACATATACAAGGGGACCTAAAACAATGGAAATTTATCTTCCCATGGTTCTGAATGCTGGGAAGTCCGAGATCAAGGTGTTGGCCAATTTGGTTTTTAGTGAGGACTCTCTTCCTATCTTGCAGACAGCCACCTCTCTCTGTGTCCTGACACGGCAAAGACAGAGAGAGGAAGAGAGAGCTCTCTGTGGCTCTTCTTAGAAGGGCACTACTCCCATCAGACCAGGGCCCCACCCTCATGATCTAATTATCTCCCACAGCCCCATCTCCAATTATCATTACCTTGTGGGTTAGGGTTTCAACATATGAATTTTCAGAGGATGCAGACATTCAGTCCTTAACAGCTCCTTTCCTCCATGGAAACTCCATGTCCTTTTAGAGAAGAGATATTGGGGAAGAATGGCAGCTCATGGAGCTGCACGGATGGAGCTGGTCTCTTTTCTCTTACGAATATGTCCCAGTAAAGACGTTATAACTCAGGGACCAACCTCAGATGCTGCAAAGGAGATGCACTGGGAAGTGACCCAAACCAACCTGGTCGGGCACAACTCTTGGATTCCTTTTGGAAGAAACAAATGGTTTGCGGGGGGGGTGTGAGTTTCATGACATCACATGAGCTCTCTACATTTATTAGCAGTTGATGTAAAACAGATCATACAAGCTTTTCTGAAAGCTAAATGATACCCCAGAAATTATCCCCTTAAGTACTTCAATCATTACCTTTGATGATAGTTCATCTGAAGTGATGTGACAACAGTCTGGAAGCCGAACGCTACTGTCTTGCTAGTTGGCACCAGACAAGCAGATCCTCCAACTCGATGGCCTTTGTGGGCCACTTAGGGGACACGCCCTGGCTGCATCTCTAAGAGGATAGCTGCAGCCCTTACTGGACTGTTATTCTCTTCTCACCTACGGGTGTGGAATGTCTCTCAACTATTTTGGCCGTTCAGCATGCTTCTCTGGCTTTGGCGCACAGGCCTCTCTCTGGGTTTAGTACTCATTCTGGGCTTCCGCACAGGTGGCAGTTACATCCGGGAATCTCCTGCTGCCCAAACCTGGTCCCTGATCCCCAGACTAACCCAGCCAACCCGGCCAGTTCTTCCTGGCCTGAAATGAGGTCAGGAGGGGGCACTGGACATCCATCAAACAGAAATGGGAGACAGAGTAACAGGAATGCGGGCCCTGGATCTAGACAGATGAGACTCAATTCCAGCTCTTCGCTACTTGCTGTGTGACTTGGGGCAAGACACTTAACTTTTCTGAGCCTGTTTCCTCAACTCCCCAATTATTTCAACGTTAACTTCTGCAAAATTCCTGACACATAGAACTAGCGCGATGAATACTGACTGCTAGTAGTCGTAGTATTGTTATTGCTGTCACACTCGATAGGTGGGCGAAATGCAGTTGTGCGGACTCTAAGGATCCCCTTGTCGGGGTCCCTTTAGGGACGACCAGTCCTGGACTAAGTTCCCTATGAGATGTCAGCGTCAGAAGGAGGGGCTAGCAGGACTAGAGTGGACAGGCGGTGTTTGGGGAAGAAAAGTGACCAACCAGGCAGGTAGCCAGAAAGAATCCAAGAATTAGACACAGGTAGAAACTCCATCTGAGAACTGGGGCTCCAGCGCTCTGATCTCAGCACATGGAAGCCCTGTCTTACAGGGCCGGGGCAGCCAGGGCCCCCTGCTAGTAAAGGTGACCTTGAGCTGTAACAAAGGTTAGACAGGGCTGTTGACCTTGCAGTCAGGCCTGAGCCTGAGGAAGAGGGCTGTGAGGCTGCTGGAGGTAAGTTCTGATCAGATTTTCTCAGTGTGAAGAGCTTGAAGTGTAGGTCAGAGGTGGTATCTGGGATGAGAGGAACACACAGTATGCATTTCCCCAGGCCCAGCCCTCAGCAGATATTTGGCTCTGTCCCCCAGAGAAAATTCCAGCTAAAACCCAAATTGCTTGTTTATTAGCAAATATGAACAATGTACAAATTAAACCACCTGCTCCTGTTGAATTAATTTAGGTTATACTGGGGCTGGGACGGAGCGGCTGATGGTTAGTTAACACAATCATGCAAATTAACCCACGCCTGGCTTCCAGGCAGCTCCCCACTGGCCACAGCAGGGGCCCTAAGGGAAATTAGGCAACAGACCTTAAAGAAAGCAAAAATCTCTGCTTTGTCTGTTCTGACAGTTTTCAGCTACTTTCCACGGGAGTCTTTTGGGGAGAATATTCAGTACTTTTTTCTCTTAGTCCAATAATACAGGAAGCAGAAAATAAAAAAACGTGGGAAAGAATAATGTAACCATCGGTGTCCTGGGCCAGTGTCCCTCTGGTGAGCGGATGATGTTACTTCTGTGTTTCACATTTCTATGTGGGTCCCTGAGACTTACTTCTGAGAGCCATTCTCCATCAGGTGGGTTATTGAACATTAAGAAGAGACTAGCCCGGACCTCCTTGGGTGATGGGGGCTGACTTCCAGGACACAAGGAAAAGGAAGAGGGTAGGACACCTTTTCCTCATTAGCCACAGTTGTTCAGGGTCTCAGCTCAGTCAGGACTAGAGAGAAAAGAACCTGAGTTATTTGGGGTGTAGGTTTAGCCCACACCCATCATTCAGATTCTCCAAGAGAGACGTCTGATGGGTTCTGCCTGTCACAGAGCACCCAGATTAGGCTAAGACTGTGTCAGGCCTCCTCATGACCAGTCTGCATTGGTTGGGGCACCAACCCAGGTATCATCAGTCTTGGCCCAGGTAGCATAACTGGTCCGCTAAGTTAATGCACAAAGCTGGAGACACAAGAATGCTGTGCTTCAGAAAAGCGTTCTTCAGAAGGGGGCTGAGAGCACGGTAGACCCTTACCAGATCACAGACCCAGCTCCAGAATACATACCTCTGTGATTTTCCCCAGTGCAGGGTGGGTGAGCACTGTGAGAGACATGTAATTGCTAACTCCAGATGGGAGAGGCAGGTGGCCAAGATGGCAGGGGACACAGAGGGAGGAAGTTCATCCCAGCTTTTCTCACCTTGGCCTCTTTGTCCCTACCTCTGGATTCTGGAAGCCCACTCCCTACTCTGGATTCCTAGTCCCACCTCATTCATAAGGAGAAAGGCGGTGGGATGCGGTGGGAGCAACTGAGAGGACCGATTCCCTGGGGGCAGGCTCTGGCCTCCGCAGAGCTGCCTTGGGTCTCACCCAGGATGCCCCCGGGACCACCTGTCTGTCTTTGTAGCCATTTTCTCCGACAGGAGAAGCACCACCATCAACAGCACCAACGGGCGAGGAGCAGCTTCATGGAGCAGAACCACTTTAACACCCTCTGTGACGGGTCAGCTATACTTTGCGTTGTGTCATGGTGGAAGGCGCAGGGCATTTGGACACGTGTGAGGGATGGGTCAGGGCCCCAACTTTAAATGTTGGCTTGGCTCCTTATTGAACTATCTGTGAAAGTTTTGGAGGGTCGCTTAACCTTTCTGATGCTTCGTTTCCTTCTCCGTAAAATCAAAGTCATAACCTGACCTTGAAAAGTGTGCCAGGCACCCAGTGAAAAATTCAGCTATAAAAGCATTTTGTAATTCTACACTATCATAGAAATGTTTTGCTTCAAACTTACTTTTATGATTTTTTTATTTTGCTCAATATGGCAGGAAGTTTGGCTTTCTTTATGCAATACTGCAATGCTGTGGAAAAATGGGAAAAAAAAATCAAGATGACAATTTCTATTACAGATAAAAGCTCAGATGCACAGACAATGAGTTGGATACTGTTAAGCCCTTCTCTTAACTAGATATTCCAGTCTCCATCCAGTCGTTGACCATCGAGCTTGTCCTCCAGGGATCCTATCAAACAAAAGGTATTAGCATCAGAACCTCACTTGGTTTTAAAGTTTGCATCACATCCTGGGGGGTTGTTATGTGTTACGCTGAACGTATGGTAGGTTGCGTGTAGCATTAATTCATTTTTGTTAAACACCTTGAAGAGGAGTGATTCGGCTGCTGAATCTATGTGTTGTGGATGTGTGTAAATAAACACACAGATCAAATTTAGAGCTGACCTGGAGAAGTTGGTGACGGATGTCCCAGCATTATATCAGTGGAGGCAGTTTGATTTTTTTTAAACACTCTTCTGAAACGTCCTGCCCCTCCTCCTGGGTAATTTGTCTGTCACTTTCTGAGTTCCAGTTCCCTCCTGGCTCTGTGAGCAGCGTCAAAGCCTGAATTTCCCTACAGGCGAAGGCACAGAACCACAATCCTCCACAAACAGCTGCTTTGTTATGCTTGAGGTAGAGATGCTGGAGGTGGGCAATATATCCTCACAAGAGCTCCAGCTTGGTCTGAAGGAATCCTGATGGGCTGTGAGGCACGGGCCTCTGGTCGGCTCTGTGAAGAATCTGCGTGGTAGGTGAATTTTTTGCTGGGGCTGCCGCAACAGAGTGACACAGACTGAGTGTTTTGCACAACAGAAATGTATTTTCATCCAGTTGTGGAGGCCAGAAGCGCAAGAGCAAGGTGTTGGCCGGGTGGCGTCTTCTGAGGCTTCTCTCGTTGGCTTGTTGACGGCCGTCATCAGTCCACGTCTTCACCGTGGTCTCCTCTAACCTTCTCACGAGGACACCAGTCAAATTGGATTACAGTTCACCCTAATGGCCTCCTCTTGAGATACTGGGGGTTAGGACATCAACATACGAATTGAAGAGGCATATAATTCCTCTCATACCAGTAGGAAATTGTGCTTTTGGTACAGGACATCTATTCAGCTGATGAAAACCGTTTTTTCTTCCCAGATTCCTAAATATCAGTTTTGTCCTACAGCTTACAGCTTTTTCATCCTCATTTCTAAATTTCTAACCTCGTTCTAGGTTTTTCCTGGGGCAGGTTCTGCTGTAATGGAAGAGAGTTTCTCTGACCTGAAGACCCTAAAGAGGTTGTATACATCCCCAAATTTTGCTGGTGAAAGAGGATCTTGAAAAGGAGCACACCTGGGGGACATGGGCCATGAATTCAGCCTGAGCTAAACTCTCAGGTACGTGTAATAGCTACCGAGTCCCAGGAGCTGAAGGGCTACCCAGTAGCATCCAGTGGAACTTTCTGCAATGGTGGACATGCTTTATATCCTGTAGAATATTCTATATCTGTGCCATCCAATATAGTCACCACTAATCACTATGGCTGTTAAGCATTCGAAATGTGGTGAGTGCAACTGAAGAACTGAATTTTTGATTTTACTTAATTTTAAGTAATCTAATGTAAATAGCCACGCGGGGAGAATTGCTGTCACGTTGGCCAACACAGTCCTAGACCCG